TCAGCATCGCATGGGGGGACCTGCTTTCTTGGCAATTCCATCGCTGTCTCGAGCACAACCAACGTGAATATTGGAAACGGCAAAATAATATACATGTAAATCACGACTACTTCCAAAATCCCGCGCTGCTTCGGCGTCGGTCGGAATGAGGGCCGCCGGGGCACCTCGGCCTTGCCCTCGACGCCGCCGGCAGCCGCGCACCGCCCTGCGACGCGCTGCACGCGGCGCCTCGCCCTGCCTGAGTGGCTGGCGAAGTCCGCGAGCGCGCCCTTGCCGATCAGGCCCTGGCCGGCCGCGGTTCCCAGGATGGCTGCTCTGGCTGGGGCCTCGGGGCATCCTGGCCTCGCAGTCCCGCTCACCTGCAGGACCTTCTCCTCGAGCAAGCTGTCGTCGATGCGGGACATGGCTCTCCGCGCCGTCTCCTCTTTCACAGGGCGCGCATGGGTCTCGGCAGCGAACGACTCACTCTTCTCGCTCGGGCAGCAAAATGCCACGCCTGTCCCGCCCTCCTGAGGCTCGTCGTGCCTAGGCTGCCCCACAGCTGGCCCCCCTCTGCTCGCGCCGCCACCAGACCCAGCCCCTGCCGCGGCACCTGAGGCGACAGTCTCGTTAGGGCACTCATCGCCCAGGTGGCCCTTCATGTTGCAGATCCTGCACCTAGACCACTCGAAGATCCCTGAGAAGGCCAACCGCGGCTTCCGACCCCGCTGGACGCCACGGGCCCCCCGGCGCCGCTCAGGGCGTCTCGTGTATTCCACGGCTGGAGAAATCATTGACGACCTCTGGAAGCACCGTCTGTCGGTCTTGAGCTCCATTTTCACCCCTCGGTTCTGCTTCCACGACTTCCTCTCGTCAGCCTGCGTCGTCGCCAGCGCGGCGGGGGCGACGGCCTCTTCCAACACCTGTTGCTCGATGGCGACGAGCCGCGCGCGCTCGGTGTCCGTGCCCATCGAAGACGCGTCGTCATAGACCAGCGGCTCGTCTTCTACGTCCGCCGCGAAAGCTGGCCGTCGTCCGCGTGCTGGGGCGGGCAGCGGGCCGACATGGTCTTCCTCGTCGCCGTCGGGGTCTCCTTCTTGCCGATGCCCAGCTCTCACATGGCCGCGTGGGACCAGTCGCCCCTGGTGAGCACTCTGGACTTGCGCAAGCTGGTCTCGTCTAGCCCCGCGCTTTCCTCTAATTGCCATTCGCCTCGCATGGCCAGACCCTGCGTCGCGATCCTGCCGAACGGACTGTCCAGCCTGGAAGCGAAGGCTGCGAGTGAGTCGGAGCCGTTCTTCTGGCACTGCACCAGACGCTCGCGCACCGCGCGGCGCTTCTCGTCATCGTGGCGCTCGCCAGATAGCAGGTCCAGCTGCCTGATGATGTGACCCACACCCTCTGCGCTACTCAATTGCTCGTCCGTGGCGCACTCCAGCTTGCGGTGGGGGTCGGTGTCTAACATATTCATGACACGACGGCCCTCTTGGAGATCAACACATCCGTCCCATTGGCCCACATGAGCACCTTCCGCCGCCATTCGGTAGTCTGCCCAGCCCAACCAGGTCTCAGGATCATTGTAGTCGCCTTCCTCGCTCCCGCCAGCGCTCCTTGGGAGTCCCGAAACGGTGCGGTGACGGACCGTGCGGTGACCTCGAAATCCCCCAAGACCTCACCGCACGGTCCGTCACCGCACGGTTTTGGGACCTCGGAGGCCCCTGTCGCCCGAGACGTCCTCGGAGGACGACCCGAGTCCCAAAACCGTGCGGTGACCCCGAATCCCCATCGACTCACCGCACGGTGTGGTCACCGCACCGTTTGGGGGCCCCCGAGGCTCCACGAGCGCCAACCGTCGCCAACTGAGCCCCGGCATCTCCAAGCGTCTTCCTGGTCGCCGCGCTCGGGGTCCATCACCTTGGGGCCGTCGGCCAGCACACTCTCTACATTCATTCACGGGTTTGTCTTCATCCGCGGGACGGGTGCGTATTGCCGATCTTCTCCACTTGACTGTTCTTTTCACCTCTCGCCACCTCTGCTCCATGCACCGCCGCTGCTGTTCCTCCACTGATGTCCGCCCCAACCTCCCCGTCCCGAGGCAGGAGCGCTACACCACTGACTGTCAGCTTCCCGTGCGGCTTGCGCTGGCTCTGACCGATCTCGCCCTGCGGGAGCTGCCGATCGGTCTGCACCTTTGTCCGATGTCCTCAGCTCCTTACGTACGACCTCGCACCTCGCGGACAAGACGACCGAGGTCATCGATACTCATAGTGGTGAGTGGCGTCTGCTGCGACACCGTCGAAGTCTCTGGCCGTTCTCCCATCAGCTGCCGTGGCAGCCTTTGCGGTGTCGGAACTCGCGCTGCCCGCGCCCGACATGTCTTGGCACAACGGAGGGCCCTGAGAGTTGGAGTGCGCAGAGCGTGCCTGGAGCCGAAGACGCACCCCGGCTCCGCTACCACTATGAATATGACTTCTCTCAGAACCCTGGCCGATGTGGACACGATGGCGATCTGGCAGCAGGTTTTCCAACAAACCAAATATACAGAGATGCCTTGAGCCAGTGCATTTGCGAAGCAATGCGCATTCCTGAAAGCACTGTACAAACACATGTACAACATTTAAGCTAACATGGGCGTAGCATGAAGCGTCACGAGGACTAACATCGGGTGAGGATAGAAAGAGAAGCTCTGAGATCTGGCGGCCCTGGAAAATGTCTCGGGCGCCGCGGCCTTCTCAAAGCGTTCCGGAACGCTCTGAGAGCCTTCCGGAATGCTCTGGAACCGATTCATCCTCGTCCTGGTCCTAGCCCCGCCAAACAAGCCCCATCCCTGGAACATCCGGCACACATGCGCAACGACACGACAGCCGATCAAACCGGATCGACCGGACGTCAGAGACCTTGGCGCGGCCAAACCAGCCGAACGACGCCTTGCGAGCCCTCGTCCAGCACGGTTAGAAGAAGAAACAACTGCTCAGAAAATAAATGTCGGATGTGATTATTTCTTGGATCGGCGCCGGAGCACGCCAAGGGCGGCGCCGGAGGCGCCAAAGGCCCTTGGCGCCGATCCGAGAAATCCGCGCGGACATTCGAAAGTTTACGTTTATGCTGCTTTTGCTCCTTCGAACGAGAGCCGATCGAACAGAACCGGCCGAACGCCACAGACTGCGGCGCAGGCCGAAGTGACAGAACCGCTGACGACCCTGCGAGCCCTCATCTCTGGACCCCAAGCGCAGCATGTGTTTCACAGGGTGGAGCACATTTGTATATTCGCGGCCATCACGGGCGTTACTGGGGGGGCAGAACTCCCCCCCGACGTGTGGCTCCGGCACCACAGCGCCTGTAGGCCTGTAAGCATCACAGCAAGCACCACAGTGCGCAGCTCAGTATGCACCGCCGCAGCCGCGTGCACCACATCACGACAAAACTGCGCAGCGCATACGTGCAGCACCAGTGTTTTTTCCCCACACCCTCCTTCGCGCATTATGATGTGCCGACGATGGCACCCAAGCGCCGCACAACGACGACGACGAGGACGACGACGACGACGACGACAGCGACGACGACGACGAGCAGGACGACGACGAGGACAATGACACGGAAGACGACGACGGCAACGACGACGACTTCGACGACGACGATGTCGATAACGTCGACGACGACGACAAGGACGAGGACGAGGACGCCGAGGATGAGGAGCAGGACGACGACGACGACGACGAGGACGAGGACGACGACGAGGACGTGGACGACGACGAAGACGACGAGGACGACGACGTGGAGAAGGATGAGAAGGACGACGACGACGACGAGGACGACGATGACGACGACGACGACGGCCTCTGAAGGTCTCTGGGGGCCGAATGAGGTCTCCGAAGACCTTTGGAGGATTCTGGAAGCCCTTCGAGGCCCTCGGCGATGACGACGACGACGAGGACGCCGATGACGAGGACGACGACGACGGCAGGGACGCGACAAGGACGGGACGATGATGCGAACAATGAGAACGAGAACGAGGACGAAGACAAAGTCGAGGACGAGGACGACGGCCGCCTCTGGAAGCGTCTGGAGGCCCATCTATGCCATCGACGACGACGAGGACGGCGGATCCGACGACGAGGACGAGGACGAGGACGAGGATGACGACGGCCGCCTCTGAAGGTCTCTTGAGGTCTCTGAAGGCCTAAAAACGTCTCTGGAGACCTCTGGAGGTGTCCTAAGGCCCTTCGATGTCCTCGGCGGCGACGACGACGACGACCGCCTCGAGCACAAGTAGGACGAGGACGAGGACGACGACTGGGACGAAGACAACGATGACGACGAAGACGAGGACGACGATGACTACAGCACCGACCACGACGACAGCGACCCCGCCGACTAAGACGACGACAACATCGACGACGATGACAACATCGACGACGACGACGACGATGACGACGACGACGACGATAGCGACGACAACGACGACGACGAGGGGCAGGACAACAAAGAAGACGACGAGGGCGACGACGACGACGACGGCCGCCTCTGAAGGTATCGGGACGTGTCCACAGCGCCAAGGATATCTCGAGAGGCCTTTGGAGGCGTCTGCTGGCCCTGCGAAGCCATTGGACGCGACGAGGGACATTGAAGTAGCAGGCGATCACCACATTAGCATGCGAGCAACACAATGGCAGCGCTGAAGGCTGGAGGCGCACAACGGGGTGTAGGGAAGGAACGTTACGTTGGGGGGGGCATAATCCGCGTCATGGCCCAAAAGCTTTAGAAACACCGTCGTGGTCTCGCAAAGATCGGGACCCCTTCCCCGGGACCGGTATCCAATCCCGAGCTTTTTTGTTGACGGTCCCCGGGCATAGCGAGGGACCACAAAGGCCGAAAGCGTTCAAAAACCACCCGTCAGGATTCTTTCACGACGCGAGGGGGTCTGGGTTCGAGGCCTCGTCCTGCTAAACGGAGGTCCCTGAGGGGGCAACAGCGAAGGCCTCTGCCGCCAGAAGGACAGGATTGCGTGCTGCGGCAGCGGCCCCTCGATGATCACAGCGTCCCAGTCAATCCCGGCGCCGTCTCCGCCTACAAACGGAGCAAAGGGAATGGAGGGAAACGGGAGCGCGAACGGAGAGGGGCAGCGGGGGGGGGGACTGGGGGAAGGGATATTTTGTTGTTGTTGTTGTTGTTGTTGTTGAGGTTGTCGTTGTTGTTGTTGTTGCTGCTGTTGCTGCTGCTGCTGTTGTTGTTGTTGTTGTTTGTGTTGTTGTTGTTGATGTTGTTGTTGTTGTTGTTGCTGCTGTTGTTGTTGTTTCTCTCTCTCCTTCCCTCTCTCTTTCTCTCTCTTTTGTTCTCTCTCTCTCTCTCTCCCTCTGTCTATCCCTCTCTCTCTCTCTCTTTTTTTCTTTCTTCGTGGCCAGTTGGCTCATTCCAGGCTCAAGCCTCAGGGGGGCAGAGAGCCCGGGCGATACGTTCCTGCGGCGCGACTGCTCCCACCGCCCAACGGTGCAACCGAATCGCCCCCCTCACCGTCCCGCCGGCGCGCTCCATGGCCCCCGGACGCTCGCACCGCCACGCGACCTCAGCACCTCGACGCACAACGCCTGATTCCGAGAGCAAGCTCGTAAGAAAGAACCACCCCAGCTCGCGCACGGGCGTTCCAATGATTTCGAAATGCGGCGACAGATGCCTGTTTGGCAAGATGGAGTGACAAGGTTGGAACAAACATGGTGTCCCGAATTCGCAGGAGCGCGAACGGAGGCTGTTCTGAAAAAGTGATGTTGCAAAACCACGCGTATCACCAAATAATCCCAGAACGGCCGATTTTGAACCCCCTTTCGAAAACTCAAAATTCTCAAGGATTCGCGCGCGCGACGACGCGCGCGCGCGCGCACTTCGTGTCACTATTTGCAAAAAGAACCTTGCGACAGCACGCGCGCAAGGGCCATCGAATGACTTCGACACGCGCGCACGCCAAGCACGTTTGACAAAAAAATCGCAAGAGCGCGGGCGTTTTTTTTTGTGTTGTTTGAAGCTCTGCTTGCGGAGCCATGTGCTTTCATGTGCTCGGGGCACTCAATTTTGAAAGCCTTACGACACCTAAGGTGTTTGAATGATTTCGGCATGCGCGCGCGACGACGCGCGCGCGTGCATGTTGTCAACGTCCCGACAGACATATGGTTGGAAACTGTTGTGATAAAAGATTGCGCGCGCATGCCAACTATTGCAGAGGATGAGGGGGGCGATGCCGCCTGCCTGTAAACAGGATAATCCAAACTGTGCAAACTATGTAGGGCAATCACTTGCTCAATGTGAAGCTGTCCTCTCCACTGATCGTGCAAACGTCCCACCCTCCCACCCACAACTTGGTCGCGAGACTTCTCTGGCTGTCTTTAGGGCGGGCTTTTCGGACTCAACCGACTCAACCTGTTTTTGCAGCATCGTCATCATCATCGTCATCATCGTCGTCATGATATTCATCATCGTCCGCGTCATCGCCATCACCATCACCATCTCCTCATCATCGAAATCATCATAATATCCATCATCATTTCCTCGTCATCGTCATCATCATGTAGTGATGATGATGATGATTAAATCATGGCCCGCATGACGACGATGGAGGCGTGAACATGTTGATGCTGACGATGATGATGACGATGAAGTCGATGATTGCGATGATGATGGCGACGGAGATGATGATGCTGATGATGAAGCTGAGTACTGTGGCAATCTAATCGGATTATCGGTAAGCACCACAGCCTCCGTGGAAGCGGGCCGCCGCATTTCGTCAAGCACCTCCGCGAGGTCGGGCAGCGCCACGGGGGCCCGTGCAAGGTGATCGGCCACGACGTGGTTCACGACGTTGAAGAACTCCTTCGGGCCAGGCGTGGCGTCGATCCTGCGCGCCCTGAACGCCCGAAAGACGTCGGAGCGGATCGTGGCGGCGATCTGCAGCCTGCGGTCGTCCACGCTCTGTTGCAGCTCGTGCTGGGTCGCGAAACAGCCCTGGCAGCCCGCGGAGGCGTGGTGGTGCACGTTGTGCTCGAGGGAGGACAGGGTGCCCATGTAGAACGACCCAGGCTTTTTGCTCGAGGGCGACGACCCGTCCGCAGGAGGATGCGCTCGAGGGTGACGCCCCATCATGTGCTCCCCCTGGGATCCTCACTTGCGCGGAGCGCGTCCCGAAAAGCGTCGCGGCCGCGAGCAACAGGGGGCATCCGCCACCTGTGTGCCAACCATCGTCCCGTGCGCCTGGTTGCATGAGCTGGATCGATGCGTACGCGAACGCGTTGTCGGCGAAGTGCTGCCATGGTGGGCTTTCCGTTCTGCTCGACGATGGCGGGTGGCATGCCGTCGGCTTTGACAGCCTCGCGCATTTTGTCTCCCAGCTGTTGCAGCCACGGGCGCATCTTCTTCCGCAGCGCCCGCGCGAAAGCGGCCATGTGGGGCGAGGGGGTGATCTGCAAATTCCCGTACTTGTTGAGGCTGCGGCACTTCGGGGGGCTTTCGTCGTCCCCGACGCCTGCAACCTCTGTTTTCAAGCCCTGTGCCGCCTCGTCGCCTCGGACGCATTTGGAGACGTTTGCCCCCGTGTCCAGGCGCCCCTTGGCCAAGTTCTGCCAGCGCGGGTCTCTCTGCAAGAAGCGGAGCAAGTCTGGGTCCAGCTCCGCCTCCGCTATCGTGCCCGTGCCGTTTTTTCCCTGCGCCACAGAGATGCGCACGTTGAGCTGGGCGCCAGCCAGCTGCAGGAAGCGACGCGCCCTTAGACGGCTGATTGTCGCTCTGGCGCCAGGGTGCCAAAGCAGGCAGCTCTCGGCGGCCTTCAACAAGTCTTGGGGGTGGGGGCAGTCTGCAAGTTCGGCAACGGGCCAGCGTCCTCGGCCGCCGAGTGCCTTCGCTGTTTCAGCCTTTAGCCAATCCCCGCCCGACCGCTTGAACCACTTCTTAAAGAAAGCAGGTTGTCCAGCCACGGGGCGGGTTCCTGGCCCTCGTAATCGTAGAAGTCCCGGGGGAAGGGTGGAACCTCCCTTGTTAGAACTCGGTGTGAGACCTAACATGAAGGCTAGTGAGATAAGCTGGGCTCTGACCTCGTATATGAGGGCGTCGTAGGAGCTCTAACATGCTATGTTAGAGCTCCATGGGAGCTCTAACGCGCTATATTAGAGCTCCATCGGATCTCTCACATGCTACGTTAGAGCTCCCTGGGGAGATCTGACATCCGAGGTTGGAGCTCCCAGGGAGCTCTAACATGGCATGTTAGAGCTCCCTGGGAGCTCTAACATAGCATGTTCGAGCTCCCTGGGAGCTCTAACATGGTATCACGTGCCATGTTAGAGCTCCCAGTGAGCTCTAACATGCTATGTTAGCGCTCCCTGGGAGCTCTAACATGCTATGTTAGAGCTCCCTGTGAGCTCTAACATACTACGTTAGAGCTCCATGTGAGCCCTGACAACTCGGGATCTGGTAACCGAAGGAACGACGAGGATGACGAGGATGACGACGACGACGACGAGGATGACGAGGATGACGATGATGACGAGGACGACGAGGACGACGACGACGAGGACGAGGAGAACGACGACGAGGACGACGAGGATGACGAGGATGACGAGGACGACGAGGACGACGACGACGACGACGAGGAGGACGACGACGAGGACGACGAGGACGACGAGGACGGCGAGGACGACGAGGACGAGGAAGACGAGGAGGAGGAGGACGACGACGACGGCGACGACGACGGCGACGACGAGCGCCTCGAAGGAACTCGGGATCTGCCAGTCGAACTGCAGCTTGCTCTTTGGGCACGGCGCGACGGGATCCCATTCGCCAAGCTCGCGTGATACAAGTGCCTGCTTCTCGAAGCAGCCGCGCGCCGGCGGCAATCCTCGCATCGGGATGTTTGCGGGCTTGATGTCGCAGTGAATGAGGCCCCTGTCGCGTATGTACTGGAGCCCTTCGAGAACGCTGTTCAGGACGTGGCGCATCCCTGTCTGCGTGAAGGAGAACTTCTGGAGGAATTGGCGGACATCGACCTCGAACAACTCGTGCGCGAGACCGATGTGCTCCGTCCATTTCGAATTTATCATTGGTACTGACTGTTGCAGTTCTCGGCGTGCATTCGGGACTGCTGCAGTTCCTGGGCGCAACCTCCTGAAAAGGCCCACGTCGAGTAAGCGAACGAGACGCGGGTGCGTGCCCACAGCGCCGTGGCGCGTGACCTCACCCAGGGCCCCTCCGACGGCATCCGCACTGAACCCCTGCTGCGCATCGCTGGGGTCGCCCCGAGGCATCTTGATCGCAAAGCCAGTCTTGTCGCCCCGTCGCATGCCCAAGTAGACCTTGCCGAAAGAGCCCTGACCGAGCTCCCCCCCTTCCCGCTCCACGTCGTACTCGAGCGGCAGGTCCTCCCACTTGCCATTCTGTTGTTTTGGCGCGCGTGCCCGACCGCGTCGAGCTTCAGCGCAAATAGATTCGCGACCCTCGTGGGACACCGCTCTCGGGCCAGCAGACCCGCGACGAGCAGCTGCCGGCGGCGTAGGCTCCGGGACCCCGTCCGCGGCGGGAAAGAGCACCTCCCCCAGCGCCTCCTCTAGGGTTTCTCCTGCGACACCCTGGCCCTCGGCGACAGCTGGCTCATCTTCTGCAGCGTTAGCTGTTCCAGCCCATTTCGCGCGCCCTGGCACCCCCGCAGGCTTGCTCACATAGTCTTTTCCCAGTTGGCGCCCAGCGCAATCTTGATGAGCCGCGCGCAGGTGTCATGCGAAACTGGCTTTGGCCACGTCAACTCACATTTGTTCTTCGTTACCTTCCCCAGCGACACTTTTGCGGTCGGGGCCCCTTTTGCCATCCTGGCCATGCTATTGTTGCAGGTCTCTCTCAGCTTCTTGATCTTGTCGTTGTTCGACCCGTCGCCCTGCAGGTAACAGCCCCACTTATATTAGAGAACCTTGTTCCTGTCGCGACCGCTGCCGCCCGAGGCAGCCATCGCCGCGGAGGCCCGCTGTCGGCAGTGTCGCCCCTGCGGGCCCGCTAAGTTTCAGTGAACCGAGACGCCTGCGGGCCCCTCCTCCGCCCCCCCC